TTCAGAATCTCTGACTGGGAGCTTAAACATATTAATAGCTGACCACAACATATTTTCTCGTATCCCAACAAAAAAACAAAACACCCAGAGCCCAGGCCTGGTTCTAGTGGATGCTTGACCAAATAATACAAATACTTTGTAATCCACTACACACATGGTGTAAGCCAGTTATACACAAATATGGAAGCGGGCATAAATGATTCCTTCTGCAATTTGGGGGAGAACACTATTTCATGCCTGGAGAAAGCATGGCTTTGACTCTCAAATAATGAAAATGAATGTCATTACTGAACAGAACAGAGTGACAAGGAGAATGAGGATGAGGATGATTTCTCAACATGGAAGAGACACAAAACAAGCCGAAGTCAGACTTAGATAATTTTATGCCCTAAACTAAATAATGTTAATAGCATTCTAAATTCCCGTTTCTCTACTTCCCACGGGTATTTTGCGTATGGTGCCAAACAAATAAACAAACAAACAAACAAAAAATATACTTTCTCATTTACCCCTATAGGTATCTCATCATGCTTATAATACTTTCATATGGATGGTAATGTCTGTCTGTTGGAATCCTAATGACTTTTGTGATACCTAATGTTTATTTTAGCACCAGCAGCATGCCAAAGTGTTCAAGTATCCTGTGAAATACTTCCATCCAGTGCCATCATGGATGGATTTTAATTTGGTTTATATGACCAAATACCTGCAAAACGAATGTCTTTCATCAGCTATGGCTTTAATTTATGTTCAGTGCTAAGTAGGGCTGCCCTCTAGTAGTTGACTGAACCGTCAATGAGAAGAATCAGCTCCACTGGAGCCAAAGTATAAGGGATTGTTGCAACATGGACCTTTTCTAACCCTGGAAGTCACTTACCGGTGCACTGCTACATATGCAAACTGTACTAGCTGCCATTAGCTACTCCTATTAGCTTACTCTACCTGGACTTAGAGCTTGAAACATGTTAACATTTTTAAAAATTAAAAATGATTTAACACAATCATCTTAGCATTGTGAGCACTTAGCTCAAAGCACTGCTGTGCCCATGTACAGCCTGACAAAGTCACTAGCATGGCTGTAGAATCCCAACACCTATATCTGTTTAATGTATGCTGGATTAGACTCCATATAAAAATTGCATAACCTTTGTTTTGCACGGCAAGCACTCGTAGCTTGACAACAAAATTTGTTACAATTCTCAAGCAATGTTATTACATGCTCCTTTTTGTAGATCTTGGCTCAACTAATTCCACAAAAATGTCAAATAAATGTCCAGTGTGTTTAATCTCTCATCAAAATAATTACTACAGTGCACTACAAAACACAATCCAGCAACTAGATTTATCTAGCATTGTGGCTGCCTGTAACTGGGAGGATTTAATTGATGATTGTCTGGCTGAGTGACTATACTTCTAATTCACTTAGCACAGTCAAACGGAGGGGGACTCATCTTGCTCTTGAGTTTTGTGCTAATGAACACCCTTGCATCCGCCGCCCCTCCACCCACACCTCCCTTCAACACATCACTGTTTATGTCTTTCTGTCCCTTCTTAATAGTTTGAGGGAGCTGTTCTAATTCCATCAACAGCCACTCACTCTGATGATTAGTGCCAGTCCACTGGTGGCCTGGAGGTCGCACAGTTGTTTGTTGACGTTGCTCTGAAGTAGTGCTCAGCTGCAGCTTCTGAATAAACAGACTGTATAGATAATAAAGCAAACAGAAATACATGGTGAGGAAAAGATAATTATTTCTTCAGATTTAATAAAAGGTGACATTTTTGCTGTATTCTGCTTTTTTGCCATCTTACCCCCAGCCAGTTTACAAGATCAATACCAACACAAGACATACCATATGATTTTGCTATGTTACTGTCTATTGATTCTTTGTCATAAGCTCTGTATCAGTAACAATAACTGTGGAGAAATAAGTGTTTTTTAGTAAGGTTTGGTTATTTTATAAGACAAACAAATATTATGAGGTATATTATTTGTTTATACCAGGCTGCTAGCTGTAGATTCATCTGGCATATCTACCTAATTTACATATTTTAAGATTTTCTACCATCTTAAACAGCTGAAGTGTTTTGCATCACATGGAATGAATAATGCCCCTTCAAATTGCAGTCAGACTGAAACTCATAAAATGCACGACGAACCACCAAAATTGGGCTTGTACAGCACAAATGCACCCAAGGGAGTCGCACCCCTCTAGTGAGCTACATTTTCTAAGCCAGTGGTTGAGATGCAATGCTATAGCCCATTAGAACATTTGAGGATTTTTGTGGACACTAAGGAAACAGACCATCTGAGCTAGACTCACTGTCAGAGCATCCCCACAGCACTTTCATCTACCCGCTTGCTCCCACCCGCAGCATTGCATGACAACTTTGGCTGCAGCAATACTGGCAGGATCCTACAGCCCCTGGAGGAGTCATGCGATTATGCATCCCTGTAGCCATGATATTCTGAATTACACAAAGAAGACTGGAGGCTGCCTTGGTTGTACTGTCTTTTATGTAAGAGAAGCTTCAGAAAAAACAACCTATTGACACTGTCTGCACAAGAGGAGACAACGCTGAACAAAATAGGTTAGTGTCTGCTATTTCAACTGGCAAACGAGACTGAAATAACTTAATTTGTGGGTAAAGTTGTGTGCAAGATATCTGGATGTAGCTTCTATTACTAGGTAGTGAACATCATTAGAAAAAATACAATGCAAAGGGGAGAATAAAATTTGAAGCAACAAAATTGCAAAGCCTACACAGTCATTATGTTGCCATCCAGCTTTAAAAGTGACCTGACAATCAGGCAATTGAGAATCCCACAGAGTCTCACAGTAGTCAAATAGCAGGCACTTGACATTTAATGTACTGTACATTGGGAATGGGATTATTTAGGTCCTGTGGTTGGTCTGCATGATTATATAGCAGCCAAGGAATACGGAGACTTATTGAAGTACAAAAGTGCACTCAACTGTGCAAAAACTGATCCCTCAGGATGTCCTCATAACCCCAGATGTTATTGCCCCCATACATATAGTAAAATACATACAAATTCATGAGATCTAAACAAGGCTTCAGGAATGATCCAATATTCTACAACACATCATTCAAGACTCATATGACAGCATTTCAAGAAACACTGAAAGCGGCACTGGAGCGAATACAAAAGCATATTCCATATTTATTTCTTGATATTTAGCTGCTGTATATCTGGCATTTGATATTTTCAACAATATACTGTTATTTTACCCTCCATATGTGTTGCTGATAAATAAGTAGCATACCTCTCTTCCAACAGTAGAAAAATAACTGATTTGTCAATAATAATTGCAGCTGCTACACATACAATGAATGTGACAATTAACGCAGAAAATGAATTCAGAATGCCTGTTGGAGCTGCAAAATACAAATGAGCTTTATTGTATTTAAGGAGAACCAGAAAATCCTCACAAAATCACTCTGACACTCATTGTGTTCGTAAAGTCGGCCTCTATTCAGTCAAGGGAATCAGTGAAGCAGCTATAACATTTGTCTCTTGACACTATAACGACAGTTTTGGGTCTCTGGTTTCTTTATGAGAGAGAATTATTCACCATCTTCAAATGCCACCGTACTGTTCAAGATGTGCAATGTAAATGTGATGTATAGCGCAGTGTAAATTCTGACTACAGCTAGAAAGGGATACTGTTATAATTGATATAGTTATAGGTTTAGCACTACATCTTAATCAACAGCAATATCATACACCGCAATGTCTCATTTTATACATAAAAGCCAATCCTGTATCCTATAACAGGATGTACACACACACGCACATTCTCATTTAAGATCAGATTTGTGCCCTCTCAAATGCCTAGAATCTCCTTAAGCATTAGTATTTCCAGGACAGTTCAACACTATTGATTCGAGAGAAAGGCAAGAAAACAGCACCAGTAAAAGAAGATGATAGAAATAGTGTCTAATGTGGAAAAAGCAATAAAACAAAGAAAGGATGTGGTGCACAAAACACACAAAGATGTCAGCTAATGTCTTGACTGAGACGCTTGTCTCAGTTTTTCTTTTTCTTTTTTTCCCTTCCTCCTGGACCCTGATTTCCCCTTAAAGCAAAACACAGATCCAGAGTGGCTGACAAATCAGCACAAGTCACAAAAGCACAGTGATGAGTGCCTTCCAAGACTTGTTACAACAAACTACACTCTAAGTCAAGTCATTAGGTTCTATTTTATGATTCAAAACAAAATCAAATTGCCAAATACGGTTTGCCTGGAATTCCCTATTGCTAGCTTGTGTACAACATCTCTATGAGAGTGAGAAACAGAGAGCAGGAGAGATGATGTGGGTGTTTATGTGTGCACGCATGTATATCTGTGTGTGTGCGTCCGAGCGTGTGTGCATCTTGTTCATGGCAAGAAATCAGCTCAGTTTAGCACATAATGGAAATGTGAATAGCCCAGAGCGCCTCTCTCCCACACAGGGAGAGAACTGGCTGGGAGCAGGCTGCATCCTTCCAAATCCAAACAGTGAAAGGGAGTTAGCTAGGTTAAAATCCTGCCCCTTTTTCTCTCCCTCCCTGGAGCGATTCACAGCTCTGCCCATACATTACTCAAACAGGTCATCCAAACAGGTCTCACGAGCAGTCTGAAAACATATTCACACACATATGTGCACACATGCTAAGCACACGGCAACGTGTACACACACACACAGTTGTAGGTTCAGTGGATAGGTGACGTTGCTCATATTATGACAGATGACATCTCATATATGGATCCCCTAGCACAATAGCCCCAAAATGTTATGCTTAATTTAACACTCTACCTTTTTCAGATTCAACATTAACAGAATTTCACTTTTTTATATACCCCACAAAAGCTTACCAACCTCAAAACATAACTGCATAACAATGTATCTATTTTTCTGTCATGCAACACTGAGATTCCTTTGACCAGGGCATTACCTTCGTGCCCAGAGGGACATGATGAAAAACTCAGACTTACATGCTACTTCTAGAGATGCGTTCCGGCTTACAGCCTCTCCCAGATAGTTTCGGGCCACACACACGTAGCTGCCATCGTCAGGCTTGCTCCTTCGTCCGTGGACGATGCGCAGGAAGAAGAGGGACCCGCTGGGCAGCAGCATGCGGTGGGAGCGGGGGTTGTCGCGATCCGTCTCAACGCGCTCCCCATCTTTGTACCATTCCACGGTGGGGGTTGGACGGCCCTCTGCTTTGCAGTTGAGAGTGGCTGGTTCCCCTTTGGACACAATGAGGTCAGAGGGGTGCTCCACAATGCGGGGAGGGAAGTCTTCCTGGCGAAGACGAGACCCTAGAGG